CCGTCTCAGACCCACGTCATGGGATGGGCCCCAGAGGAGCACCCAATCGGTGAGGAGTTGCAGGAAGATGAAGATGTGCAAAAGGCCCTGACATCTTCCTCCTCACCAGACGAAGCCGTGGAAGGCACAACAGTGTCTGGCTCTCCTCTGATTGATCATCGGGCGCACCAGGACCTGCTCCGCCGTGTAGCCCTCAATCTGGGCTTGCAGGCGGAGGAGACGGTAGAGCAGGAGGACCCCATGGTCACATCTTAAGCCCGGCCCCTTCAGGATCATGCTCCCGATCATAAAAACGGTCCAGTCCAACTACAAAACAGTATGGCAAACACCGGCCTCCAGTGCACCAACTGCGAAAGGCGTGGAGAGGAAATACTTCGCCCCATCTAAAGGGTTTGACTTCCTCTTCTCTCACCCAACTCCCTGTTCGTCTCTGCGGTCAACGAACGAGAGCGTCATGGCCAGCAAGCCCTGGCCCCCAAGGCCAAGGAGGCGAAACGCTTGGACTTATTTGGGAGAAAGGTCTACTCGTCCGGGGGCCTCCAGTTGAGGATCGCTAATCAGCAAGCGATTCTGAACAGACACAACTTTAATTCTTGGGCATCAGTCTCCAAGTTTAAGGAATCCCTGCCTCAGGACTCACCACCCGAGTTTACGGCTCTAGTGGACGAAGGGAAGGCAGTAGCCAAAACCTCCCCACAGGCCTCCCTTGACTCCGCGGACGCAGCTGCGAGGACAATCGCGTCAGGTAGTAATGAGACGCTCGGCATGGTTACAGGCTTCCGGCCTTCCACCAGAGGTGCAAAACACCCTCCAAGACCTTCTGTTCGAGGGGTCAGGCTTGTTTTCGGACCAGACGGATGCCAGACTACATAGACTCAAAGACTCTCGAGCGACCCTCAAGTCGTTGGGAATGCATACTTCAAGCCCCAACCACCACAGAGGCAGTGCCACCCTCGTCCTCGACAAGAACCGTACCGCAGCCATGGCAGGGATAACAGGCAGAGACGTAACAATACGCCTAACCAGGGCCAAAATCATGGCCAAGACAAGCCGCAGCCAGGAAATAAACCAGGGTTTTGAAGATGCGATTGAGGACAGCGTACCACACTCTATTCCGGATGTTTCAGGGAGCGCCTGTCCTGTTTTTACCGTGCTTGGTCACATATAACATCGGACCACTGGGTCCTGCGCACGGTGGAGGTGGGCTATACCCTTCAGTTCTCCTCGCCCCCTTCCTCCCATCCCCCTTCCCCGTCCCTCTTCAGGGACCCCTCTCACGAGCAACTCCTCATGCAGGAGGTGCGGACCCTCCTCACTGTAGGAGCAGTGGAAGAGGTCCCCCCGGACCTAAGGGGGAAAGGATTCTACTCCAGGTATTTCCTGATTCCCAAAGCAAAAGGGGGCCTCCGTCCATTTTGGACCTATGCGGACTAAACAAATTTCTGGTCAAAACACGTTTCCGTATGGTCTCGCTTGGAGCTATTATCCCATCCCTGGATCCGGGGGATTGGTACGCTGCCCTCGATATGAAAGATGCGTATTTTCACATCACCATCCGCCCGGCCCACCGGCAGTTCCTGCGCTTCACCATCAACCAGCACCATTTTCAATTTACGGTCCTGCCCTTTGGCCTGGCAATGGCCCCACGAGTGTTCACAAAATGCATGTCCGTGGTGGTAGCTTTTCTTCGGAAGAGAAGGATGCGCGTGTACCCGTACTTGGACGAGTGGCTCCTCGCGGGCAGGTCGGAGGCCAAGGTCCGCTCCCACGTGACGCTGGCTCTACAGGTGTTCTGCAAGCTCGGCCTACTGGTCAATGTGCCCAAGTCCTCACTGATCCCCACGCAGAGACTGGACTTCATAGGAGCAGTCCTGGACTCGGTGGCAGCGCGGGCAAGTCTTCCAGTGTCACGGTTCTTGGCCATTCAAAGGGTCGTAGGCTCCGTCCAACAATTTCCCACGACTATGGCCAGGTGCTGCATGCAACTCTTGGGGCACATGGCGGCCTGCACACATGTAGTCAGACATGCCCGCCTAAGACTCAGGCCATTGCAGTTGTGGCTAGCCCAAACGTATTGCCCCAACAGAGACCCTTTAGACCTGGTGGTGACAATCCCGGCTCGGTTGTTGAACTCCCTCCGCTGGTGGCTCGATCAGCAGCAGGATTGCGAGGGGGTCCTCTTCGCTGCCCCACAACCCACTCTGACGTTAGTAACAGATGCATTGGACCTGGGTTTGGGGGTGCACCTGGGGGACCTGCGGACCCAGGACTTGTGGTCCAGGGAAGAAAAGTTGCTTCACATCAATCTGAAGGAGCTAAGGGCGGTTCGCCTCGCCTGTCAGACCTTTCATGCCACCATAGAAGGCCACAGCATGTCAGTTCTGATGAACAACACTACCGCCATGTTCTATATAAACAAGCAGGGCGGGTCCCGATCCTCTCCCCTCTGTCACGAGGCGCTCCGCCTATGGGACTTCTGTATAGCCCATTCAGTCCACCTTATCACAACATATCTCCCAGGGTTCCAAAACGGGTTAGCAGACCGCCTCAGCCGGTCCTACCACATGCACGAATGGGCGTTGAAACGGGACGTCCTGCATTCAATCTTCCAGAGGTGGGGGTTTCCCCTGGTGGATCTCTTCGCCACCAAGGACAACAGCCAATGCCCTCAGTTTTGTTCTTACCAGAACCTCAGCCCGGGCTCGTTGGCAGATGCCTTCGTGATCCCATGGGGTGGGAGCCTGAGGTATGCCTTCCCTCCATTCCCGCTCATCCACAAGGTCCTCCTCAAGACCCATAGAGACAAGGCGGCAGTTATCCTCATCGTCCCGGCGTGGCCACACCAGCATTGGTTCACGACCCTGCTGGAATTGTCCATATCCGCCCCGATTGCCCTCCCTCTCCATCGCGACCTCATCACACAGGATCGGGGTCGCCTACTACACCCGAACCTACCGTCGCTACATCTCACGGCGTGGTATCTCTCTGGCTAAACGATACGGAGCAAAGGTGCTCTCACCAGGTCCAGCGAATTCTCCTTGGTAGTAGGAAGCCCTCCACAAGAGCGACCTACCTTGCCAAATGGAGGAGGTTCTCCCACTGGTGTGAGCCGCATCACATACAGCCTCTGCGGGCCTCGGTCCTGTCAATTTTGGACTACTTGCTGGACCTCAAACGTCAAGGGCTCGCCCCCACCTCAATTAAAGTGCATCTGGCTGCAATATTGGCGTTCCATCCTGGGGAGTTGGGAGTTTCGGTGTTCTCCAACCCCACAGTAGCCCGATTCCTCAAGGGACTGGAAAGGGTGTTTCCCTATTCGCGCACACTGGTCCCTGCGTGGAATCTCAACCTGGTCCTAACTAAACTCATGGGGCCCCCCTTTAAACCCCTAGTCTCTTGCTCCCTCATGCACCTTTCATGGAAGGTAGCGTTTCTCGTGGCCATCACATCGGCCAGGAGGGTATCGGAATTGAGAGCCCTCACTTCGGAACCTCCTTATACAGTTTTTCATAAGGATAAGGTGCAACTGAGGCCACACCCTAAATTCCTTCCAAAGGTGGTCACGCATTTTCACATGGGCCAAGACATTTGTCTACTGGTGTTCTTCCCTAAGCCCCATATGGACCCAAGCCACCGCAGCCTGCATACCCTCGATGTCCATAGGGCCCTAGCATTTTATCTAGAGCAGACCAGGCCATTCCGCAAATCAACTCAACTGTTTATTACCATTGCGGAGCGAATGAGAGGCCTGCCTATCTCGACGCAACGCTTGTCAGCATGGATTGTGCTTCGCATACGCACGTGCTATGAGCTCACCAACGTACCAGCCACGGAGATCCGGGCTCATTCGACTAGGGCCCAGGCGTCCTTGGCGGCTTTCTTGGCACAGGTTCCACTCCAGGAAATCTTTAAAGCGGCCACCTGGTCGTCGGTGCATACGTTCACAGCCCACTATGCGATCCATCATCAGACCAGGGAGGGCTGTGCTTCAATCGATTGTTCCTTGACTCCTACCCTCCTCCAATGGTAAGCTTGTGAGTCACCTAATGTGTAATGGACATGAACAATCACTCAAAGAAGAAAAAATGGTTACTTACCTTCTGTAACTGTTGTTCTTCGAGATGTGTTGTTCACGTCCATTATATTTCCCACCCTCCTTTCCCTCTGTCGGAGTCACCGGCAAGAAGGAACCGAGGGAGGGTCGGGCCTGCAGGGATATATATACCCTAGAGCGGGGCGCCGCTCTGGCGGGAGCGGGGAGCCCTGCCGGCCCGACAGGAGCCGCTGAGGGGAAAAGTTTCCGACGTCCGTGCACGTGGCGCGTGCACACCTAATGTGTAATGGACGTGAACAACACATCTCGAAGAACAACAGTTACAGAAGGTAGGTAACCGTTTTTCCCTCACAGCTTCCTCTTCCAAGCAGGACTTGCCTTAAAAAATGTACACCCTTTTAGACCATCAGTTTGAACTTTGTTTGACTGAATCCTCCTTTCTAACATCTTCTATCAGCTTCTCTCTGCCCAATGTTTAATGCACTGGGTCTGTATTGTTTACTTCAACCTGGAGCTTGTATTGGAATTCTATATGCAAATGTGCACAATGTGCATCTGTCACCTAATTTCCTTAGCAGTTGGTTGTGGGTTGTAAGCTTGGTAGCAAAGTCTATTCTTGACATGCTACTTAACTGTCTTAAACTCATATGTATGATTAAAACTTCAATTTTTCTTTGATATTCCATGGTTTTTCAAAGAAAGTTTGGGGTCCAGCAGTGCATTATGTATTTCTACAGTCAGCTCACAATGTAGCCTTTGGCTTTCCACTGTAGTTTAATGATGGAGTTGCAATGCAAGAGAGCAGAGGTTAAGATCCATTCTTACATAATAAACACATTTTGTCAAAGTACTCTAATTTCATATAAGTAGTCTCTCATTAAAAGGAATTAAATCAAAGAATAGTGCTGTTTGGAATATCATTGTTTTATTATTTTTTTCTGTTTAGGAACAGCTTCTGAAGATGGTAAGAAAAATTAATCTTTTGTTAGAATAGCAAATACTTCATCTTCATGTTTTCATTTATACAAACTAAGTTCTAGAAGTAGAATTAGCTCATTTTGGTGGTTGGGCGGGTCATTCCATTTGGCTTACGCATCTAATATTTGGTTATTGAAGTTGTATTTTTGTTAATTCTTTTGCATTATGATTTTGATTCTCAGGCAATTATTTGCAATAAAAATGTCATTGCTTAACATTTTACTATAAAATTACAGGAGTATTATGTTTGTATCTTTTAAATTACAAACTAATTAGGAAAAACTCATCTGTTGATCAGATGTGCTCACACACTCAGGAAGCAGGTGCTATTATTAATTATCTATTTGAAACGTGGAAGAACATTTTAAAATGTATTGTTAAAACCCTTCTAAGCTAGCACCAGAGAATCAATCACTATGCTTGCCTCATAACATTCAAACAGATTTTGTTTTTTACTTTAATGGAAATTAAATCAGGCCTTTATTGATGATTCAGCATCAACCAAATTGGTGGCGCACTATATTCCTAAACTCTCTGGGCCAGATTCTGTACACAGTTACATGCCCTGAAACCTCATTACAATTAGTGGGGAAAATAGTGCCAATGCATGGGGTGACTGAGGGTAGAGTTTGTCCCAATCAATTTAACCAGTAATGGTAATACATTGCTTTCTAGTAGCTAAGTGAATAACCTCCTTTATCCTGGCTCTCTTCCCATAGACTTTCTTCTGTGGACTGTTCCTTCTACTTGGATGAATAATATTAACTTGGCTGGTCTTGAAATCCTGCTGTGGAAAGCCTAAAGGGGCTGGAAACTAGATATAATGAGCCTGTATGCCTAATTCTTCTGGGTCAAGGATTGACCCTATATGTCTGCAAAACTTTTTTATTGTTAAAGTTAAAGCAGTCTTAAATTGAATTAATTGTTGCGCTAGAGCGTCACTTCTCAAGCAGTTTCCTCTTGCAACCTTCCAAAATTGTGTCCAACTCGCTGTTCTAAGTATTGTTTTTGTGTGGGGCTCTCATGTTGGTTTAGGACCTGTATGCAGAATTCTGGCTATTCACTTTTAAGAGTAATCTGCCTATTAACTGTCATTCATACTGCTGGAACCTTCCCTTCTTTGTATTGTCTAAACATTGAGGAGTAGAGATGTTGTCACACAAAAGATGATCTTATCGGTTGGCAGTCTGGAGAGAGCTGAATTCTATTTGGGTTCTGCCATAGACTTCCTGAGTAATTTCAGACAAATCCTTAAAATCTCTGTGTCTCAGTACTTCCTTTTGTAAAACAAGGGTAGTATTTCTCTACCTCACATGGATGTTGAGACTTATTCATTAGTCTTTGCAAAGTTCTTTGAGAACCTTGTATGGAAATTGCTATAAAGCATAAAGAACTACTTTTGTGTCCACATCCATAGGCATGAGTATAGTGGTATCCTGAGGTACAGAGAAGATCGCAGGTCTCTAAAAACTGGAGCAGTGCTGCTCAGAATTGTTGGCAAGAATCCTCAGTGGCCTGTTCAAAAGAGAGCCAGGGTTGGCTTTGTTACCTAGAGGATGAAAAAGGAAAGTTAGTAAAATTACAGCCTTCAAGTAGTAATGAGTAGAGTATGATATTTGTTACATTAGGTACTTCTCTCCTCCTAAATTATAAAATATTTTCCTTGACTCTTACTTCATAAGCTTAACATTTAAAAATATAAAATCAGTGTATTTCTGGAGGAAAACTAGAGTTATCTAATTTGGTGTTGATGAAGATGAGCTAGTTTTAATTTTAAAAATTGATAGTGTATAAATTCTTTATTGAAGTACTTAGGGTCAGAAAGAAAAGTGTTTGTGTTTCTTAACTTGCAGTTAAATCTATCGCGCTATTTAATTTTCTACTATGAGTTGGTTTTTTTCAAGTGAGGTTTGGATGATTGAGTTTTCCAGTATGTAAATCTTCAGTTTTCAACTATAGTAACGTAATAAAACATTCATTAACACTATGACATCTCTATTCGTGATGAAGATTATTTTTTTAATGTCATTTTTACTTTATAGGTCGTATACGAACAAAGCTTTCAACACCGTCTGTTGGAATTGGAAATTCAAAAACAGATTCTAGAGGACGTAGTCGAACGAAAGTGGTCTCTCAATCTCAGCGTATGTATTTATCAGTAATACTTGATAAAAAGATAGGCCATATGCTTAGCATACATTCATTGACCAATGGCAATGGTCAAAGCTAATATAAAAAACATAAGCTGCATACTGAGTTGTTGTTCTGTGCCTTAGGTTCATCATCGCCAGACAAAAATGAAGGTATTTTTTTTTTCGGTGCTTTGGGTCAGTAGTATTTGCATGCTTTTGAAATCTTTGATAATTTGTGTTGTCATATTTTTCGGAGAAAAATTAGGGCTAGTTCATCCCTTAAAGTAGGTTGTATAACAGGAAATTAAATCTGCCACCAAAGCCAGTTTGTAGTCTTAAAAAACCCCAACAAAACCTTCTGTACTAACTAGCTAGAATACTTAAAAATGTAATATCAGAAATTAGGTAAAGTGGGTGGTGTACTTATAGATGACCTGAAAATCCTAGTTCTTCAGTACCCAAATCCTCTTATTTTTTTAGTTAATAGTAGTCTAAAAGTATAATTCAGTAATTGTGTTTTCCCCTCTACTTTTCACTATAAAGTAGACACTGCCATTGCCACCTGGGTGCACTCTAGTTTTCTACATATCGCCAGTATCTTTACTCCTCAACCTTCCTTTTGTTTTGCATTTAATGTTTCTTTTTAAATTCTTCACTGAGGGTTTTTCACTGGGACTTTTTTCTACCTCAGCAGCAATAGAAATAGTTTAATTTTGGAGCTAAAATTATTGGTGGTGGTTATTTAAAATATACAATGTTTTAAAAGTGATTTATGCTATCTAGGCTTTAAATGATTTTTAAAATTTTGAAATGACAGTGCATTCTTAAGGTTTGAAATTAACAATATGTATAGGCTTGGAAGGATTAGATATTTATCAGTAAACATCTATTTCACTGTACACATATAAACCAATGAAAAAATATTTCCACTGATGATGATTAAAACTTACAGACACCATAAGAAAAATGATGTTTGAGAATTTATTAGAGTTTGATTTAAGGATATTTACTTTGCATATTTTGACATGTGATGTTGACAGTTTGTTTTTTAACAGTTATAAACCTTTAACTTCTTCGAGTGATGGTCTCTGTTGTATTCCACCGAGGGTTTACGCATGCACACCATGCATCCAGAGCTAGAGAATTTGAAAATAGTGTCCACTGGTCCATGCGTGAGCCCTGGTTTGCCACATGATTTCATCTGAGGTGATAAAAGGCGAGGCTGAGGAACCGTGTCTTCAGTTCCTTCTCATCACCGCCTGGTTCAGATCGGAACTTTCAGTGTCTTTTTCTTTGAGGCACTTTTAAAAACATGGTTGTACATAGTTTTAGAATTTTACAATTTATAGTGTTTTATAGCTGTTTTATCGTAGTTTATCGTAATGTTAGTGATTAGGATAGATAGTTGGGGGGGGGGGGGTGTTTTTCCTACCCTCCCTCCTGCTCTTCCCAGTACTCGCACGTGTGTACAATGCCTAAGACTCTGAGCTTCAAATTCTGTGCCTCCTGCCCGTGTTCCTTCTCAGTCAGCGACAAACACCAGTGCTGCCTCTACTGCTTGGGAGAAGCCCACATTACATCACGGTGCAATATTTGCCAGTCTTTCCTCAGCTGTACCCGAAAAGGTTGGGGCCTTTGCCTCCAGAAGCACCTTATGAAAGTCTCCATGAGGACTCGCTTAGACCCTGGCCAGGGAAATCCACCCCACTCCACCCCACCCCAGTACATCGGTCTGAAACAGCTAGATATGCATCTCTTGCTACTGAGTCCGGATTCATCACTGGTGGTACCATCACTGTGGACCTCGCGCCGGGGACTAGTCTGGAGGTAAGGAAGCATTCCCATAAGCATGGCGTTAAGTCTTCCTTGAAAACAAAGAAAGGAGATACTGCTTCCATGAGTTTGAGTCACGGAGAGGGAGCGCACTCTAAAGTGCATAAACACGAAAAGAAGTCCCACAAGCAAGGGGATCTGGTGGTCCCAGGTACCAAACTGTAGGTACCGTCAACATTGGCACCCCATAAAGTGTGGGACCCGTGCAGTCCAGGGAAGTCCACTACTCCACCACCACTTACCCCTAACATCAGGAAGACTGGGAAAAGCACCCGAGCCCCAGGTCATCTTAATTTTAGAGGAACCGAGATTGTCTCGCATGTTGTGATCCTCGACCTCTTGGGAGACTCTTTCTCCCCCTCATGACATGCCACCCCTCACCTCCTGTTCCAATGGTCTACACGCTTCTGCTGACTCTGATGGTACCACCAAAGGATCTGTAGTCTCATCTTCGGAAGAATTGGATGATGGAAAGGGACCGTCAATCCCCTTCAGCAGTACATGTATTCTAGAAGGCCATCTGGATCGTGCAATACCATATGATGCAACCACCATGGACCCACTGGTTCCCCACGCAAGGGGATCCGCCTCAACTCCCTCCAGATTGAGCATGTTGGCCTTATTGTGGGCAATGGCCCCAATACGTCCCTCTCAGAACTCTCCCTTGCAGATCAGGCGACTTCATCTGTCTCCCCATTAAAGGGGCCATTGAGTAGAAGTTCAGATCCAATCCTGGAAGAGAAGCCCTTTAGCCCAGTTCCAACAGTGCCACTGGAACCGGAGAGATTCCCTTCCTCTTCCCCAAACAAGGCAGTGACTTCAGCGTCCCCTTTGCCTTTAGCTAATTCCAGGGTCTCCTGCATGGAGTAGTGGGGGAGCTTCACATCCCCTTGGAGGAAATCCGGGATACACAGCATAAACTCCTGGATATCCTCCATTCATCTGCACCTACTAGTGTCGCACTGCCCATCAATGATGCCGTCCTTAAACCAGCTAGGATGGTATGGCACACAACGGCCACATGCACACCTACTTCCAAGGGAAAAGCAATTATATGTTCCAGCTAAGGGGTCTTAGTTTCTTTTCTCACACACACCCCGAACCCACTTGTGGGTCAGGCAGCAACTGAACAATCCAGGCAACAACACGCACCTTCCACATCATCCATCAGAGAGGGTAAGCAATTGGACCTTTTGGGCCGTAAGGTCTTTTCCTTGGTCAGTCTCCAATTCAGGATTTTGAACTATCAGGTATTACTAGCCAAATATGTTTTCCTGCATTATAGCAAACTGGAGGGATTTGCTGAAAACGTCCTCCGCAAGACTGGGCTTATTTCCAGGTGATCATAGAGGAAGGGAAGCTGGTGGCAAGAACAATGCACCAATCAGTGGTGGATGTGGCAGATACTTCTTCCAGGACTATGGCTGCAAGCATAGTCATGCGGAGGGGATCGTGGCTCCACTCCTGTGTTTTTCCTCGGCAGGTACAGAACACTATAGAAAACTTCCCTTTTGATGAATCCCATCTTTTTAATCAAAAGACTGATGATTCCCTTCATACTCTCAAAGCCTCCAAAACTACCCTATGTTCACTGGGTATTTTTATGCCTGCTCCGAAATGTAAGCTTTAGCACCTGCCACCCACACTATGCTACAGAGCCTCCCAGTTTTTCCACCAGAGACCTTATGCACATCCACAGAAGAGACAAAGGACAGAGATCCAACCCTCCGGGACCACCTTCACAGGCTTCCTCCTTCAGATGCAATCCCCAGCTAAAAGGTATTTCTAAGACATTCTTGACAGCTGTCAGCCATCTTGCCTACTGCCATGCACCCATCTTACCCCCTTAAGAGGCACTCTTTTTCCAAGCTTGGAGTGCAATAACAACAGACACATGGGTGCTAAATATCATCCACCAGGGCTGTATGATTGAATTCATCACGCTACCTCCTCCACAGCCCCCCGATCCCTCCTCAGGGTCTACCGTCATGACAGCATCCTCACCCAAGAAGTGAATTCCTTACTACAATGGGGAGTGATAGATGGTGTTTCCTTGGAATATCACGGGACAGGATTCTATTCAATTTACTTCCTGATACCCGAGAAGAAAGGCAGACGGAGACTAATTCTAGACTTCCAGCTTTTCAGTCGCTTCATTCGCAAGCCCAAATTTCGTATGGTCACACTAGCAGCAATTTCCCATCACTAGAAAAAGCCATGTGGGATCTCAATATGCAACATGCTCTCACATAGACATCCATGCAGCCCACAGATGATTCCCCATGTTCACGTCTGCTCCATTTCCAAAACAGGGTTCTCCCTTTCGGACTAACTGCTGCTCCCAGTGTTGTCTTCAAGGTTTTTGCAGTCATGGTGGCCTACATCAGACGTCATGGAGTCCTGGTATTCCCATATCTCGACAACTGGCTCCTGGCTGCTCAGTCCAGACGCAAAGCCTAAGTTTCAACATCCGTGTTGTTCAGCCTTCTTTCGTCCCTCGAGATCAGTATCAGTGTTGAAAAATCAACCTTGGACCCCACACAATCCACAGGTTTTATAGGGGCCACCATCAACTCAGTCATAGCACAGGCCTACCTACCAAGGGACAGGCTCCATACACTGAGAGAACTCATAACTTCCGCTAACAATCCTTATGTCCATGCCAGGACTTTTGTCACTCCTTGGTCACATGGCTTCTTGTACATATGTCACTGCCTTCACTCAACTCCATCTTCGCTGCCTCCAGATGTGGCTTCAGACTGTTTTCTCGCCCAGCCATCACACCATGGAGCTCGTGCTGCCAGTCCCTCCAGGGTACTCTCAGCCCTCCAGTGGTGGATGGACCCACGTCATGTCTGAATAGCGGTTCTCCTCCTTCCTGGACAAGACGATCATCACCGATGCATCCCTCATAGACTGGGGAGCACACATGGATGATCACATGACATAGGGAACATGGACTACTCAGGAATCCAGGATGAACATCAACATCTGAAGAAGTGAGGTTCTTACCCACAAAAGCTTATGCTCCCAATACTTCTGTTAGTCTTAAAGGTGCCACAGGACCCTCTGTTGCTTTTAACATCCTGGAAGTCCAGGCTGTAAGGAAAGCATATAAGAAAAGCCTTTCTCCTGTTCACCTGTGCCCTTCATGTTCTTATCCTGTCGGACAACACCACCGCTGTTTTCCACATCGACAGACGGGAGCAAAGGTCAACCGTTCTGTGTGTAAAAGCAGTCAACCTCTGGAATTGGTGCATCACCCACTTGTCTGCAGCTTCTCTCCCAGGGAAACGGAACGTGATTGCGGACTCAATTATTAGGCAGTTTGCAATTGACCACAAGTGGGAACTCCATGACTGCATAACTCACTACACGTTCAACTGATGGGGGATGCTGACCAGAGACCTCTTCACCTCTCACATAAACAGCAAATACAACATGTATTACTCTGGGGAGGTCTCAGACACCACTCTCAGAGCGATACTCTCATACTGTCCTGGTCAGACCAAAATAACTATACCTCACCTCCTCTATTGCTCCTACCACAAGTATTCCACAAGATCAGACTAGACACAGCAACAGTCATTCTGATAGCCCCCTGCTGGCCCAGACAATTCTAGTTTCCCAACCACCCGTCCATCAGTTCCCATCCCCACTGTTCACGATCTGCTGGTGCACTACAACAGCTAGATCCCAATCCATAGGTGCTGCACCTCAGAGCATGGTATTTGGATGGGCATCATCTCTAGAACAGGCTTGTTCCACAGACATGCAAAACATCCTCTCCTGCAGCAAAACATCCTCTCAGCCTCATCTCTTTAGGAGTCCACCTAGCTGCGATTAGTGCCTTCCACCTCCCCCTCCCCCCAATGGAACGCACTCAGTTTTTACACACTCATTAACTGTTGGTTCTGGAAGGGCCTCATCAGAACCTTCCCTCCCATCAAACCCTTTGCTCCCCAGTGAGATCTTAACCTAGTTTTATTTGTAGTAACAAAACCATCCTTTGAACTGTTGGCATCGTGCTCTATGTTCCTCCTTTCAATTAAAAGTCGCCTTTCTTGTTGCTATCACTTCTGCGAGAAGGGTCGGTGAACTTGGGTCCAAGATGGTGGAACCCCCTTTTATGATTGAGTCTCCCTATGCCTGCATCCCAAATTTCTACCAATGGTCACCTCCCAGTTTCACATTAATCCATTCACTTACCTGTTTTCTTCCTGAAGCTACACACATTTGCAGAGGAACGATGACTCTACTCCCTAGACATCGGATGGGCCTTGGCCTTCTATCTAAGGGGACAAGCCTCATCAGGAAGTCCCCCAGACCGTTGGTGACAGTAGCAGAAAAACTCAAGGTCAGATAGTCTCCACCCAGAGAATCTCCAAGTGGATTTTGGGTTGCATTACACTTTGCTATCAACTCTCTGGCCTCCGTCTGCCCACTGGGATGCAGGATCATTCCACGAGAGCTCAGGCTTTGACCACAGCCTCCCTCTACGACATGCCGCTCCAGGGACATCTGTGGAGTGGCCATGTGGAGTTCAGTGCACACCTTTGATACACACTATCCCTTGGTACAGGACTTGACAGCAGATGCCTTCTTCAGCATGGCAATCCTCTGCTCAACAGTTCCATCTCCATCCTTGCACCCTCCTCCAACTCCTTATTAATCACCCTCAGTTGAGTACAATAGGGACCATCACTTGAAGAAGAAGAGGAGGTTACTTATCTGTAACTGGAGGTTCTTAGAGATGTGTGGTCCCTATCTGTATTCCACTTCCCACCCTCCTTCCCCTCTGCTATGGATCTGTTGGATTTGTGGTGGAAAAGGAAGTGGAGATGCTATTGGTCCCCCTTGCCCTTTATTACCTTGGATGAAACCATAAGGTGAACCAGGGCACATGCGCAGACCAACGGATACTACTTTCAAATTATCCAACTCCAGACACATGGTGCGCATGTAAAACCCTCAGTGGAATATGGATAGGGAACACACATCTCGAAGAACCTTCAGTTACAGGTAAGTAACCATCTCTTTTTGAATCACAGCATCTGTTGTAGTTAAATTGTTGTCTGACCCCTCATTGTCTGACACCCCCCATAATTTCCCACAACTGTAAACATTTAAAATTGATAAAAATAAAAAATGCTTGAAACCCATAATTATGCTCAACCATGAAAACATAAATTGATAAAAATAATGCTTAAAAATAAACAGTGATGATATTCATGAAAATTATTAAAAAAAACAATCAGATTCTTCCAAACCTAAATATATGTGGTCATTAAATGTGGGTTTTCGGCTTTTTTTTTGTTTGTTTTTTAACATTATCAGTTTTGATTTAAAAAAAATGTTATCCCATTCCACTCAGTATACATTTTTGTACAAAACATTATTTTTTAATTAACAATTTGGAGCCTGATTTTCAAACGTGCACCTGCACTCATATACGGTTAATTACTGTGCAGTTACCAGGACAGCACAAACAAATACTGTCAGGTACAAGTAATCAGTATGTAAACTTTTTGTTTGTAAAGTTGGCAAGTTTGTTATTAAACCGAAGAGACACATGACACCTCCAATATAATTTTAACCACTTTTCAGAGTAGAATGATGCTTTAAAGTGCACAGAAAGTGTAGTAACTTAAAAAGGTCATTAGTCCATAATATATCCTTTTTTAGATAGTAATGGAATAGCAGAAATTAAAAGTGAACAAATTCATTTGGTTATAAAATCTTGCTTACTATAAGTTTGCATTAATTTTTCAGTAACAATTTCCTGAAGGCCTTTTTATTTTCAAAGGGACGCTGGTCAAACTTGGCCCAGAATTTGCAGGTTCTGTGCAAACAAGCTTTTACAAAATCCAAAGACCAATAGACATATGCATTATACCCATAAAAGAGCTTTATTAATCAAGAAATTTTGATGGGAAATTACTCAAAATAAATGGCAAAAAGGGGTTATGCCTAAATCGTTGATGGATATTCAGTTTCTGCAGAGGTGGTCAGTGTTAAGAGGTTTGTATTCTAATTCAGTTTTAGCTAATTAATTCTTCACATTCAATAAAATGTAAACTTAAGCTTTTAAATTGTATTTTACTGGTAATTGTGGTTGTTTGCAAAAGAACTCACTTTCTGTTTGGATCAGAGCCTGAAGGGATGAGTTGGGTAGAACTCCCTGATGTGCTACTGAAATACTTGGATGGCTTTACATATGGTAGTATGGAAAAATAAGTCATTCCCTCCCCCCTTCCTAACTGGCAGCCCTCCTCCCACTCAGAGCTGAATCCTTCAGCAGAGCTCATTGCTTACAAATCTCAGGAGTGTGACAAATAAGAATTCCTAGACAATGTAAAAGAGGACTAATAGAACAAATAAACATAAGAACATAACTTAATAATGGCCATACTGGATCAGACCAAAAGCCCATCCAGCCCAGTATCCTGTCTTCCAACAGAGGCCAATGCCAGGTGTCCCAGAGGGAATGAACAGAATAGGTGATCATCAAGTGATCCATCCCCTGTCGCCCATTCTCATCTTCTGGCAGACAGAGGCTAGGGACACCATGCCTGCCCATCCTAGCTAATAGCCATTGATGGACCTATCCTCCATGAATTTATCTAGATCTTTTTTGAACCCTGTTATAATCTTGGCCTTCACAATATCCTCTGGCAAAGAGTTCCACAGGTTGACTGTGTGTTGTGTGAAGAAATACTTCCTTTTGTTCGTTTTAAACCTGCTGCCTATTAATTTAATTTGGTGACCCCTAATTCTTGTGTTATAAGGAGGAGTAAATAATACTTATTTACTTTCTCCACACCAGTCATGACTTTATAGACCTCTATCATATCCCCCTTAGTTGTCTCTTTTCCAAGCTGGAAAATCCCAGTTTTATTAATCTCGTCTCATATGGAAGTCGTTCCAGACCCCTAATCATTTTTGTTGTTCTTCTCTGAACCTTTTCCTAACTCCAGTATAAATAAAAGTGGACAGGAGAGGGGCAACTGAAGCACAAGTGTGCCTGACGTTTTGTGGCATAATTTTTTAAAAATTCTAATTTAAATGAGAATTATTGACATGAAACTGAGTGAAAAGTTCCGGATTAGTCAGACCGTTTTATAATGGGTTACATATTAGACTTAGATTCCCACCTCTTACAAATAATTGTAGTACAGCGTTCCCCTTTTGTTGTCTTAGACCAAGTCTCCATATTTAAAAAAAAAAAGTCATTTTAAAACAATACATTATTGTCTCATCTGGCAGTATAAATTCTTTTGAAACTAAAACCATTGTGCTATAATTTAGGGATAGAGCTGTACTTTAAGTTTCAAGGGTATGTATTTAAAGGCTAGGATATTTGACTGATACTTGCAAGGTTGGGTAGTTTTGTGGGGGCGGGGAAATACATAATTGTAACTAGGGATTTTGGAGGAACTTTCCTCCTACTCCCACCCTCAGAGCTATTTGTAAATAGACAGTCATATTAAATACATTTATACAGATCTGTATTGCAGTTAAGTCATGAATAGAAAAGTTGCTACTCTTGTTTTCAATTTGGTTCCGGCTAATTTATTGGGGTTTGCATGGTGTTACTATGTTTATCTCTATTAGAGAAAAAGAATAAATTTTCTGATTGAAAAAAAATTATTTTGCTTTTCCCTCAGATGGATTATAATAAAAGAAATAATAGAAAGTTAGAATGACAAAATTTAGTTAGGTCTAAAAATTTTGACTCCTTTTATAATTATTATCTGAAAGTGTCTTGTCAGATTACAAATGTGTTCCAGTACCTGTGCTTCCCTTTTCGGAGCTGTTTTGATCACCTCACTCCCAACCAAATTTTCCATCATTGTATTTGTCTTGAATAAGAAAATGTTTGTGGCCTTTCATGAAAATTGCTTTCTTCAGCTTTTAAATCTTTATTTTTTTGCAGTCTAATATTACTTGAAAATATTCTGGAAGTTGAGTTCATATTTAATTGAAAATAATGTAATTCTTTAGTATTCTGCAGTTAGATGGAAACTTGTAATTTGCTTTTGCAGCTTTGCTTCATCTGATTTGTACACAAGCATCTGAACCTAGTTCTTTAGTTGTGGAAGCTACTAAAATGCATTGCTTTTCGCATAACCCTTTTGTGGCTTTTTTCTCCTGTGTGAACTGACTAAAGCTTTCTTGTTTCCATTTGCCATCCATTTTTAATCTGCTCTGCTCCCTCCCTCTTCATGGATTATAAACCTTTACCCTAATCCTGCCTTTTACACTTGTTCAGGATCACAGTCTGCTAACCCCATTGGTGGTAAGACTCTTAAAATTTGTGTGTGCATTGTTGTTTGATCATTTGTCTACATATCCCTAACATAGGACCCTATTCAGCAGAAATTCCAGCTCACTTTCCATGGTCCTACAACTATTTAATTTAATGTAATTCTGAGAAGGAAAAACATTTCTTCTTTGTAATTATGGAGTATCATCTTTGTAATTTCTTTTCTTCCACTATCAAAATAGCACTGATTGTTTAGACCTGCAACTGCTCATGCTACTGTGTGTAAGGTGAACAGTTCAGCGAGTCAAGTGTACCCCACAGTAGCGGTCAACCAGATGTAACAAACATCTAGAAGTAGCAGAGTGATGTATATAACTTTATATTGATCAAGCACACTTTTTGCATTTAACAAAGGGGAAGGGTAAAGGATTATCAGGTTTTGCAAGTTTCTTCAGGGAATCTGCTGGAAATTCTCTAGTACAGAGGACAGTTATTCTATATTCTGCCAGGTCTTTCTGAATTAATTGGGATGGGCTGAATGATATGCAGAAGGTCTGCATGAGCTCTTAATTCTCACAAAACTACATAAAACTAGTAGAAATGTCTGCTTTTCATCTCCGTAACAGAAACTAGGTTCATGACTTCTGTGCTGCACAATATTGCATGTCTTATTTTTGCTGAATAGGCCCATAGATAGAAAAGGGCACTTTGCTAAATAATCATTTCAAGTCTCAATTCAACCAACAAATCATATAGTCTATGCATGGCGCATTGTTTTCAGTTTCCTGCCTCCCTCTGCGCGGGCCCCCCACCCCACCCCACACATTTTTTCAGTCATTTCTTTTCTATCAAGCTTTAATGATCTTGTGGTCTGAAAATATGCCTGTGGACCTTTTATTGTTAGAGCATCTTTGCTTTTTGGTTGACACTGGTAGTCCTTGTAATGTAAGAGTGCTATGAAACTTACTTAAGCTGATAGACATCTTACAGCATTGCTGTGCTTACACTGTTTCCTTCTTTTAAATGGGGCTAGGAAAATTATTATAGGCTTCATTTCATTGAGCTGATTTTGGTTAAAAATAGCTTTGCTTTTTAATTAAGATTTTTAGGTGAAATTGTTTTTATTCTGCATTTGGCAACAGTGACATATAATTAAACTGATTATTGCTATAAAATACAGTTTTAATTAGAGTATCGGTAAGGGATATGAATGGACCATTTGTTAGGTATTAAAATGTAAGATATCCACAGCTGAAACTTCAAAGGTTGAAGATAGTCTAGGTAAAAGTGACCAATTTCTTCCAATGGATGCAATATGCTAAAATCAAAGATCAAATTTCTAATAAATTGTATAATTTTTATGAATAAAATTTGCTAAGATACTTCAACAAAGAATTTTAACATCTTGATCAGGTGTGTTTTTTCATAATCTGTTCCAAAGGTTGAAAATTGTAGTTTTAAAAAAGCTTTCTTAATTGAATTTTTAGAATAACTTCCATGGAAGTCAGTGGGAGTCTTTCCATTGTCTACAGTCAGTGTTAGAGGATTGGGCTCCAAGAGAGTAGGATTTGAAGAAATACCAGGGCCTACTTCATCTTTTACATGTTTAGAAAATACAATAGTTATTTGTTGTGTTATGAAAATCAAGGTGATCAGTCCAGGGATGTTACAGAACAAAATTATCTATTTGGTTTAATGACTGGTGGTTCCCAAATTGCAATATGTGACCAACAGTCCCATATAATTTTAAAAATGAACACACAGTTGTTGTTCTACTATATATTCCCTATGGGTGCCCCACCATAGGATGTGCATATGCCTGTGCGCTCTCAATCAGACTGTGAAGTGTCCGTGGGCATACGCAGAGAGGTGCTTTGTGCTTTGAACAGGGAACATAAGGAATTGCAAGCCTGCCATCACAAAGTTCCTTTTCAGCCACTTGCGGCTCGAAAGAGTCTGATGTATTCAGCTTCCCACCTTCACTTTGTGAATTCTTTACTTCATTTATTTGTTTTAGTAATTTCTTTTAGTTTATCTATTTTCATTGTTACCTTTATTTTGCATAGCAACTGTTATGTTGGTTGGGGGCAGGAGAATTTCTTCCCTTCCTCTTCTTCTTCTTCGATCTTTTGTTCTGTGTTGGAACCAGGGGTTGAGACTTGCCAAAAGCCCTTTCCCCATATTGATGGACACTCCAGCTGCCTGCGGTGTTTGGGGGGACTCTCACAAGTCACAACCCTTCTAAATGCAAGGTCTGTCTGGATTTCAAAGGCAGATCCAAGAGAACAGGAGACTAGACTTAAGCTCCTGTTAATAGAACTTGCCCTAGCTCTGGAGGTGTATGCTTCTCTCCCTCCAAGTCCCAGTACATTAGGTTCTATGTTGCAGACTGCCTCAATCACAGTTGCTGACTTGTTTACAGCCCTGGACGATAAAACCGTGTACAGGAGGAGCAAAAGTCTTGGGCTGAGATCTCACCTTCATCTCTGAAGTCCTCTTCATCTCCAGATGAGGTGCTATTGCCACCACTGCTCTCCTATGCTGATGATTTTAGCTTTCCAGGATCTCATGAAAAGGCTAGTGGATTCACTTCAAATCCCACTAGAGGAAGTCCAAGAGTTGGTGGACAGAGGTCCAGGCAGCAATGTCCAGACCATTAAACACTATTCCCGTCTTTGGGACTCCGCATCAACCACAAAAAATACACACTATCTGCAGTACAGAGAGGAGACTTTATAGGAGTTATTCTGGACTTCACAACAGCAAGAGCCTACCTACTGAGGAGAGATTCTTCACCCTATCCAACCAAAGCTCAACATTGCAGTGCAGCCCACAAACAGTGAGAATTTGTCTGTAGGTCTTAGGCCACATGTCAGCCTCCAGGTATGTGACACCCCATGTGAGGATGCACCTCAGGTTGCTTCTATACGTGGATAAGGACAGCGTATATTCCAAACTGACGTAGCCTTTCCTAAGATATCACAATGCCTTAGAAGGTTTTGGACTGTCTTACATGATGGAAGGACACATGGAAGGTCTGTATTGGAACCCCATTCTTGTATCCAGCACCTTTGAAGAGCCTCACAATAGACGCATCTCTGGGATGGGAGCTCATCTACAGGGAGACTTAGCACAGAAATCAGTGCTCCAGACCAGTGTCTGGAGTTAAAAACAGATTGATATGCTTGCCAACACTTCTCTCACACCATACAAAGTCACTCAGAGTAATGCTGAACAATAGGGTAGCGATGTATTAAGTCAATTGCCAGGGCAGAGCAAGACCCCAGTCCTTATGTGCATAGTTATTAAGGCTGGAATCTGGTCTCTCTCTCATCAGATAGAAATATCGGCAGCCTGTTTACCAGGTCTCCACAATACAATCGCAGACTCCTTGAGCAGGCATTTCTGGCGAGATCTTGAATGGGAATTCAAGGACTCTGTCTTCCACAGGATCTGCCAGACCTGAGGTATACCGGGGTAGACCTCTTTGCTACCCTGAACAAAATGAAATGTTTCCTGTTCTACTGCAATGGAAGTTACAGCTATGACTCTCTGGGGAATGCCCTGATAACATGGCCTTGTACCCTTCTTTGTGCTTACCTACCTATATCATTAATCCTCAAGACTCTTCTCAAGCTGCACTGAGAAGGAGCATGAGCTAGCCTCGTATCACCTGCTTGGCTGAGACAGGTGTGGTACTCAAACCTCATCCACCTCTTTGGGAAGGTAACACCCCTCAGATTTCCTATTACAAAAGACCTATTGGCAGAGGTATTCATCGATCCCATCCCCTTCTCTCTGAATCTGAGAACCTGGCTGCTCAGTGACTCTCAAGCATGGAGTTGACCTTTTTGGCTAGAGTTCAGTCAGTTTTCTTATCTAGTAGAAAGCCTAGTACTCATAAAACTTGCTTGCAAAGGTGCAAGCACTTCCAATCATTGTGCTCCCTCACATCTTCTAAAGGCTAGGAAGTTCTGCTTTCTAACATCCTGGGCTACCTGTTTGAATTAAAGACATAGGGTTTCTCAATGAGCTCTATCAGAGTACATCTGTCACCATCACAGCCTTCCACTCATCTATCGGGCTTCTCAGTCTTTGCCACACCCTATAGCAATCAGATTTCTTCAGGGCATATACAGCTTGCTTCTGCCATTCGACAGCTGGCTCCCCTGTGGGACTTCAACTGATTCTGAATGCCCTAAAAAAATCCCCCTTCAAACCAATGGCAACCTGCTCTCTCTCCCCAAAATTTTGTACTTAATTGCCTTCACCTCAGCAAAGTGAATGGGGGAGTGGGAAGATCTCATGGTGGACCCAGCATGTACCACCTTCTACAAAGACAAGATTATATTACATCCCTATCCTTGCTTCCTCCCAGATGTTATATTCCTCCCTTGGAATATGAGATTAACCAGGAAATTCACCTACCAGTTTTCTGCCCAAATCTTGTGCCTCCAGAGAATAAACCTTTGTCCACTGAATGTCAGGAGGGCCCTTGCTTTCTATCTAAACCATTCTTGGCATCTCCCAGACTATTTGTATCAATTGCAGATAGGATGAAGGATCAACCGATTTCCACACAAACTTAAGTGGGTTTTGAATGCATCTTGACCTGCTCTGAAAATGCTGGTGTTCACAGAGTAACAGCACATTCCATTAGTGCTCAGTCCAGATCTGTAACTTCACTGAAAGATGTTGCCAGAGCAGAAATCTGGAGGACTCCTATTTGGTCTTCTCTCCATGCCTTTGCCAAACATTGCTTCATTTTATCTGCTTCCCGAGATAACTCATTTGGTGATGTGGGTTTTTTTTTGTGTGTTCTGGACTTATCTCCTCACTGAGCTTCTGCTTGGGTGTCTCCTACAATGGAGCACCCATAGGGACATATACTCGAAGAAGAAGGAAAGGTTACTTCCTTACAGTAACTTGAGTTCTTTGGGATGTTTTGTCCTTAAATGTGCTCCACCTCCCGCCCTCCTTCCCCTCTGCTGTGGAATTCAGCTTCGCTGTCAAGAAGGAACTGAGTGGTGGGGGGCTGACATCTCTCAAGATGCACTCGTTCAGAGCAGGAGGAACTGCATTGTACAGGCATGGGCTCACAGACACTACGTTGCAGTCTCCAATCGAGAATGCATGGACTTGCATAAATCCTATGGTGGAGCACCCATAGGGACAAAACCTCTTGAACTCAAATTGCTGTAAGGTAAGTAACCTCTCCATCTTCACATTCGGGAATATTGGATGCTTTTGTAAATACTAGTGAAAGGAATAATATTTTTGGTGTGCGGTTACAATTGCTTGCTATGGTGCTCATATAGTCCTAAATACCATAAGAGTTTTCGGACTTGCAGGGATATTTTTATACCTATACCTTGTGAGAGGTACTTTAGTTTTAAAACTAGATGTAGATCTTACAGATTTTTCTCAAATTTTATATTTCATCTTGTAAGTTCTTCCAAACTATTTTTTCAAACCATTTCAGTCAAACATGTTGTTTTTCTGTCTTTTTATCCTCGCTATTTATCTGAAGTTATTTATTTTTACTTATTTTGCCTTCAGCTGGTAGTCGATCTGGATCTCCTGGAAGAGTTTTGACTACAACTGCACTTTCAACTATGAACACAGGGGTTCAGAGAGTGTTAGTCAATCCAGCAACAGCACAAAAACGGAGCAAGATCCCACGAAGCCAAGGATGCAGTAGAGAAGCAAGTCCTTCTAGATTATCAGTAGGTAAGAACTATCAAGTAACCTTTTTAGGTTTCTTTACAGATGATGTTACTGTATGCATTTGGTGCCTAGTTACAGATGGTGGGGCTGGAAAACATATAATTGAAACTCTAAAATCTGACTGGGGACCTGCAAAGCCAACTCCCAAGGGAGGCCTATGATTTGCAACAGTTTCAAATTTAAGGTGGGACTATGAAGTTTGCTGTTCTCTGAATGCACTGATCTATGCTCCATGCTTACTCTTAAGCAAAGAAAAGGAAGTGTGGAAGGAGCAAGTGAATAGGAGCCCCTATAAAAATCCAACGTTGTTGGGAACCCTCAAAATCTTTATGGCAGCCTGGAAACACTGAAAACTGGGAAGAAGACATCAAGACAATTAGAGTCCTTGAAATACTTGTTTTATAGTGTGTGTGGGGAGGGGGGGGGTAAAAATGAATGTATTATGCTTCATATTTCCCCCAAGTACAGCCTCATGGTATAACTCAATTATCTATACTTTGTTGAAATGTGTCAATCAATAAAACCGAGGTTACTGCTATCCGTAAGCTGGTTTTCTATAGTATTTTTATTTAGTTTTACCTTACCTTTACCTTAAACTGAATTATTTCCCCCCTTTTTAAATAGATTGTTGTACTGTACACTAGTGTAGCAAAAACAACGTTTATTTTCACATTAAAAAAGAAAGATTAGCTGGAACTAAACTGAGTAAGTTATTGAATGAACTACTCTGTTTGTATGCTTTTCACAGGCTGTACTGATTAATGTTTCAACTATAATCTGAAAAAGTTACCATCCTTTTCAAGCATTTTTTCAACTTTCTTTAGAGAGGTTCCAAATTCACATTAGTTTATGTTGTGGCGAAGATACTTTCATCTGGACTGGCTGCATTTAGTGCAATTCGTCAAATTCATAAAATGTCAGAAAGAAGATAATACTGTAATGCTACATGAATAGAGGCAACGTCTGTTCTTAGAAATACATAATTGATCTGATTTATTGCACAAACAAAATTACATTAAAACTACAACTTTTCTTGTGTCTTCTCCCTTTCTGTGCTGCTGTTTGTCTGTACACTGAATCATACTAGCACGAGGCAGCCGCATTCCTCGACCTAGTGTGAGTCAGGGGTGCAGTCGGGAGGCCAGCCGTGAAAGTAGCAGGGACACAAGCCCTGTCCGCTCTTTTCCACCCCTTGGTAAGTACTTGGAGACCTTCGTTGTGCCTATTTATGCCTTTCATTATCTGCATCTAATGAACCCATGCCTTCTTCATTTAGCTTATAGTAGGTAACCATTTTCTTTGCACTCATTTGCCATTTAGTTTGCTGGAGTATTGATCAACGTGTGAATGAAATGCATGTTAAAAAAGTAAATGCCACACTGGTATTAGTCTTATTCTTTACACCAAGAACCTGGGAAGATAACCTCACCACACAGTTCCTAGATTGAAGCTTTAAAAAAGGGCAGTTCTGCTCAGAAAAGTGACTGTAAAAATGGCGTTGTAAGATTACATGTTTGTGTCTTGATTTCAATATGAAATGCATATAAATAAAAAACTAACTGTGACTAGGTTTGCTTGAGCTCAAAACCTGGGTGTTTCTTCCTGCTCCCTGGATCAGATAGATCGGATTGATAACTGGTTTTATATTGCAGGAATAATAGGAATTATAGTGCAGTTACTAAACAATTCTATTGATAGAAAAGAAAAAATATTGCTATATTGTCACGCTAGTGAGAGTGTAAATAGAAGTAAAAAAATTTTTTAATTCTATTTTTGTCACTGAAGTAAGTCAGTATGAATCTCAGTGCAGATTAGTAGCAGATCCATTGAGTTAGAAGATGCCAGTTTCATGCAGTCATTTTTCAAAGCAGACTTGCGCTGTAAGAATAGTCTACATTTTTTTGGAAATAAATGGAAGCAAATAGTAAGGGCCCTTGTCAGAGTGGGTGAACCTAAATCCAGTTTTGAAACCTACTTTGTGTCTCAAAAACAGGATAACACACAATTAACATAGGTCACTATATGGGGGAGAGGAGGTTGGCAACTTCTTTACATTTCAGATTTGCACAACTACAAATACTTCAGACTTCTTTCCTAGAGCTACTGTCAACAATGACACAGCTTTCACATGCAATACTGCAATTTACTGGCCTGACACTTAAAATATTTGCAAGTATCAAACTGACAAGTATTTACAAAACTCAAACGGAAGTACAGGAATCACATAGTTGGCTTTAAAAAAATCAGTAGCTTCTAATCATAAATCATTTTGTCTGGTTGAAAGTTGCCTATGATTTAGGTAGCAAGCTTGTCTTGAAAAGATAATTTTAGTTGGTTTGGGGCTCCTTCTGTAAGGTAGAAAATGTATCACTTGAAGGTTCTATTTGAAATTTACCTACTTTGTATGAATTTATAATAGATTTTTAGTGCCTTTTTTATTTCTTCCCAGTTCAGTATAGTCTACAGCAAAGATACCTTGCTTCCAACGTCTCAGCTCACTCCCATAATATTAAGATATTTACTCTATTTTCAACCTCAAAGTGAGGCACCACAGTATATTCCTAATTAGCATCTGAAAGTCTGATCCTTATTTTGGGCTGTGAAGGCAGTTTGCACCTTTCAGCCTTATTTTTACTGGCAAAGAGTTGAGTAAATAAATGGAAGCTGTCTTAGTATCTAATGCTAATTTAACCAGATGCTATTTAATCAGGAAACCTAATGAAAGAGCACGTTATATAAGATCCACTAGTCAGCTCTTATAGGTTCTGTGGTGTACTACGTATTTGTTTTAAAAAAACAGTGTGTTTTCAGATACTTCTGTGCTTCTTTTGCTACTCTGCAGCTTGAATTTGAAAAGTTTAATTGCTTGCATGTTGTATATGATTGACGTGTTATGCCAAGCCAAATGCTCCATATTTTTAAAACACCATTATTAAAATAACTTCATAATGTTGTTAGACATTGGGTTACTGGGACAGCTGTTGCTTGAAATGTTATTTTTGTTGTTGTTAATGAAGTTTTTAACCTCTGTGTTCAGATGCCAAATACCATGAGTAGGTTGTATCTGTTGCTTGTATCAAGAATGTAAAATAACCCCTATGGAAATCAAGATTTAGTAAAAATGTATGTTCCTGAAATAAATATCACAGGACTTCTTACCTTTCTATTTCCTGATTTCTTTGTTTTCAAATTTCCCTAGTGATTAGTTAAGCCAGTTTGTCTTATTCCATATAATTAGTCTATTGTTAAATTTATTTCTTTAAATAATTCTGCAGACTATGGTCTTGAATTTTCCACTGATTCCAGTGGAATGTAGACTAAGTAAATCAGCTGTCTCAGTTGTTAGTTTTCTTTCATATAATGTATGTGACAATTTTACATATAACCCTTTTACAACTGTAGACTGTTGTTAATGGCTCCCAAAAAAGAATATTTTGTTTGCATAATGTCCCAAGTTTATGCCATTTCTATGTGTGGTGTATAAACCTTTTTGTAATCCCACATCACGGGGATTACAGATGCTGATATCAAAGAAGTGGCAGGGGGGCACCTATTTTAATTCACTGCTCTGAGAAACAAGTGATTTTATATGCAACTGAATATTGATTTATGATATACAGTTAATTTTAAAGATTTATATTTTTCAAGATTACTTTCTAACTTCCTTTGACCAGAAAGTACATTATTTCTTAATCCTTTTCAATTTTTTTCATTATAACAAATCTTTAAAAATTTGGTAGAATAATAACCAAATTAAATAATTAGAGACGGTCCATTATAATATCAGGAGCACAAAGAGCACTCTTGAAGAAGAGATTGTGGAATAAAGTCAACTTTACCTGTTATAATACGTTATAGCCATGTATTAGCATATTTTGGCTTGCTTGTTTTATATAATTGTGGGGAGAGAGGTGGTTTTAAATAGTATTCCTAGTTATATTATGAGCTCTTAATTCATATCTTGAGTGGAAGAACTGAATTTTCAGTGGAAGATTATAGAGAAATTGGTCCCACTATTGCATGTGTTCAAAGCCCTGCAGATAGCATGTATCGCTGCCATTGATTTTGTGTTGTCTTTTATACTGCTGAGTGTCTAGTCGAGTATGCTGGCATATGATTGCCAAAGAACCAAGCATCCAATAATATAGTTAGTGGGGAAGAAAAAAACATACTTCATAGTTAAATAACGTAAGCATATTTATATTGATGCAAAATATATTAAACATTGCTTAGTGGATTACAAAAATTACAATAAAAATGTCATCTATTGCATACTAAGTGGGCTTGTCTTCACTGTTAAGTCAACTCAGGTTATAAGTGGAATGTTACCAGTAACTCGAGTCCTGTCCATACCAGGACTGATTGATTTAAATCACAGATTTTATTCATTATTTAAATCAGCAAGCAGGAAATCTTGATTTAATAACTAATTTCAATCTTGTTTTGCATTTGTACTTCAGTTATTTTCTTAAAGACAGGTTCATTCTCATTGGTTTGTATAACCATTAAAACATGCTGATTTGCAACCAAATATAGCCTTTACAGTAAATTTGGCCATACTTCTTACTAATCAGGAGGATGTACAAGATCTATACATATGTATTTAATCAGTTATATAGCTTATCATACATTTGTTCAGATTCTTAATTTTTACAATTAGAAAATGGTGAATGATACAATTCTTTTCTAGTCGATTACAATTTTTTACTCAGGGTTGGTGTCAAGATATATTTGGATGGAAATGTGAATTAAATTTAAATAGTACAAAACCAGCATTTTTAAATTGTTCGTTAAATAAAACTAACTTAAATATGTTGATACATAAGAAAAACAAGTAAGTTTATCAAAACATATTTTGCATTTAAAACTGATTAGTTAAAGAAAGGAAGTATTAACTGTAGTTAGTCAACTGATGGATTCAGGGCCCTCCCTAGCCATTTGAGTGCCCTACGCAGCCACCCCCGGGGCTGTGTGGGGCCCCAGACCTCTCTCCCCTCCCCCCCCCCCCCCCCACGGTCTGGGAGGCAGGAGCTGTGGAGGGCCACTTTTGGGAGCCCCAGAGGCCCAGAAAGGCCTGGGGAATTAGCGGGGGGCCGGGACCAGCCCGCTCCGCTTCCCTCGCCCCGGCCCCAGCCATGTCACTAGGGGGAGGGAGCTTGGGGGAAGGGATTTCCCCCCCCCACCCCCTGGCAGCAGCGGGAAGCGGAGCAGCCCGGCCCCAGTCTGCTCTACTCCGCCTGCTCCCAGCTGTGGCACTCTACCTTCTGCTGCCAGTGAGAGCTGGGGGTGCTCCTTTCCCCAACCCGAGCGACATGGCTGGGGCCAGGGCAAGGGAAGCAGAGCAGGCTGGGGCCACGTTTCTCCGCTTCCCACCGCCAGTGAGTGCGGGGGGACGATCCTTTCCCCGCACTCACTGGCGGTGGGAAGCAGAGCGCTGCAGCTGGGAGCTGGCAGAGTAGAGCAGGCTGGGGCCAGGTTGCTCCGCTTCCTGCCGCTGCTGGTGAGTGCAGGGGGGAAGAGGTGGAATGGGGGTGGGCCGGGGGCAGAGCAGGGGGAAAAGGTAAGAGGCAGGGCGGAGGGAGTTGTCCGGGCCCCTGCCCCCAGGGACAGCCCGCCCCTTGCGGGGAGGTGGGGGGCGGCCGAGGGATAGGGCCGGTCGCCAGAGCTGGTGCTGCCATATGCAGCACGCAGCTGCCTAGGGCACCATGAAATTTGGGGCAATTTGGTGCCCCAATTTCATGGTGCCCTAGGCAGCTGCGTATGCTGCGTATGCTTAAGGACGGCCCTGGATGGATTGTTTCTGGTCACCATGAGCCAGATTTTTGAAGGTATTTAAGTTTCATTTCCAAGGGAAGGTTAATCCTAAAAACTTGAAGGACATGGCGACAGATTTTCAAAGGTATTTAGGCACCTAAAGATGCAGAAAGGTGCCTAGTGAGATTTTCAAAAGCAGTTAAGTAGGGTAGGTTCAACTAACGTAGGTATTGAAACCTAAATACCTTTGACAGTCTGGCCCCACGTCCTTCAAATGTTTAGAATTAGTAGATCTCATCCTCTCCCACCTGTTTTTATTGATAGATTGGAAGAGGAAAACAAGCTTTCCTGCTTTTTCTACTCCCAGTCAGTTTCTCAGCTTTGAATGAACTAGTCCAAATGAAGAAAATATTCTCACTGTACCTGCTAGCTAAACTGAAACTAGAACAAGTTACAAGCTTTTCTGCACACTAGTAACTGAAAGTACTTACATTTGGAAAAATGTACCACTCTAGTCCGGCATCCTCGGGACCTGATCGGTGCTGAACCAGAGAATTTGCTGAACCACGGGAGGTCAATGCAGAATGCCAGGGGGTCTCCATAGGCACGTATGTAGGGGGTGCTGCAGCACCCACAGGCAGTGGGCCAGCATAGCCCCCCTCCCCTGTGAATCAGCTGTTCGCAGTGCTCCGGAAGCGCTGGGAGGGAGGAGGAGGAGTTAGCAAGCGTGAGGCCACCAGCATGTGAGAGGCAGGGGAGGGAGTGGGGAGCTTGGTGCTGGTGAATGCTCCGCACCCACTAATTTTTACACATGGGTGCTCTAGCCCCAGAGCACTCAGGGAGTCAGCACCTATGCCGGACCACAGATGTTGCCAGACCAGGGAGTGCCGGATTAGAGAGGTTCATCCTGTGCCAATATACACTCCATTGTAAAGACTGAAAATAATACAGATCCTTAATGCAGTACTTGACGTTGTGACATATTTATAAAACTTGAGTTGACTTCAGAAATTAAAGATATTTTCACCTGATACTAAATATAATTTAAAAAGCAGCACTCTTTAATCTCATTAAAATTTGAAGAGGCTAATTGATGTAACATATATTTTATTTATTTAAGTAGAATAATTGTAAATTTAGGCCTTAATAGAGGTTTAAAATTAAATTTGAAAATAAAACAGGTTTATTTTTAATACTTTATTTTTTAAAATTAAATGAAAAGTTATGTATTAAAAAATAAACCTTTTTAAATCATTTTTTTTATCCAGGCACAAAAAACATTAATTTGAGCCTAGTGGTACTTTTAGCTTGAATTGGCTAGCCTTTCAAGGGTATAGGCTACAGCTCAAGTTAGCACAACTTGTCAGCTGCTAATACAGTAACTCTGTGCAGTAATCTAATTATTCTGTGCAGCTCAAGTATTATTTTGCATTGTGGCTGCTGTCATTTAAGCTAGGCCGTCCTGCGTAGACAAGTCAAGTTAACTTTGCAGTTAAGATACAGACTCAGTAGGCTGTTTTGAAAGGCTCATATAGGGGTGTATATATGTGTTTTGCTTTGAATTAAAAAAGGGAATGTTTGCTTTTTTTTCTGCAGCATGAATTGGCTTCTGTACAATAACCCACTTGTTATGTAGTTGAGGGACTTGTTTTCTGAAACTTTTTCATGTTTTCTCTGTTAATTTGTTCTGTTTCATGCAATAATGCTACATCTGTTTCCTAAAAAGTATTCTCTTTATCTATACAGTTATCACTGTACGTTGCTTCCATGATAATAGATAGGGTTTATATGATCCTGTTATTGCAGCTTCCAGGCATCACTCCAGATCTACTGGTGCCCTCTACACCCCAGAAGTATATGGGGCTACAGGTGAAGGATGAGTACACTTTGCTGTCATCTGTGCAGTCATCCTGGATACTTTTTCCCACTTGGTTTTCCTTACAATCCATTTTTAAAAACTATTATTTACATTCATTTGAGTTTTGTGTTTTGGATAATCAAGGTAGATGTGTACACATTGCAAGCTTTTCTTTCCCAAGGTCAACCCCCCCCTCCCCCCATGTATTTACAGTTATTTTTACTGGCAGATGTACTTTATTTTAGTTCCTCATTATTTGGTATTTGTAGCACTTTTTATGCATGTAGTTCTCTAACATAGTGCTGTTGGTAGCCCTCCTCATATTTTGCTTTTTATTTAAAAAAATAATTAAAAAACCCAAAATGATTAATATATTTTAACAGGTGCTCTTCAAAAGAAAAGTAGCTCTGTAGAGCAAACGCCTCAGTTGAGCCTCTTGATTCCTTTCTTTCATAGTACAAATATTTATCAGACATTCTATTTAATCATTGATTAATGTTTGTTTATTTTTCCCATTCTTTTGCTGCAAAAATACAAATCAGATAATTGCCACATCAATTCTTTTTTTAACTTTTCAGTTAAATGAAATTAAGTAGAGCAGAGCACTTGCCAATTACTATACTTCTGGTTGGGTTTTTTTAAGTGACTAAAATTCTATTTTCCAATTCTGATTTAAATGTTTATTATTTTCTTATTCTGTTATGACAGGTACAGGGTTTGGAATCAGTCAGTCAAGTAGATTGTCATCATCAGTTAGTGCTATGAGAGTTCTGAACACAGGTTCTGATGTAGAAGAAGCAGTAGCAGATGCATTGGTAAGAATCCTCCATTTATCATTTTAAGCAGACTAAAAACTTTGAATTGTGTGATCACTTAAATTGTATATTATATATATCTACATATATGTATTTATAGGCATTCTGAACTGTGAAACAGTTTAGTTCCTTAGGTTTGAAATTACATTTGTTTACCTGAGCTAGCTCATTGAGGTGGAATTTTGGTTAAATGATAGCATGAACAACTAGGGTAATACAAGACAAGTGATTGAAATTTTTTCCCCTTTGAATAAAAACTAAAGCTCTGAACAAGCAAATTAATGATGTGTCCAAAATCTGAAACTGTTCCAATATCTTCTCAAGATTGTAGATTCTTTGGGTCTGGTTTCCATTTTCTATGTTTTGGCTCAGAATTATGTTAACTATTGAAACTTAAAAAATAAAAACAAATGTTGAAAGTTAAGTTGCTCTGCCATTGCACCTCTGTAGAACAAAAGGCAGACTTGTAATTCAGAGACAGACTTGGCTGTAGTTTTATTTCCCACCTATTGTCAAGTTCATCAGTCCAGATGGTACTCAGTCTGCAAGGAGATCCTTTTGGGATTTGCTATGATAATGACTGTCAAATTGATATCACAACTTTAAAACGATTAAAACATGGATAATAGGACACCTGTTTACCTTGTAAATCAGCACAACACAACAGGAAAATAAATATATATGCATATAAACTTGGTAACATCATATTTATCCTATACTTTCTAGTATCTAAATGTATTTTGCATGTTATATAAAAAATGAAGAACCTGTTTACTGGAGCTAAACAGCATTGAGATTTTTGTTCCATGAAAAATTCTAGATTTTGAAAAAAATTTCCATTCTATAGCAGAATTGGGTAAAAAAAAATTAAAATATTTTGTGGGGAGCCGGCCAGGTGGTGAACCGGTCAGACAGGGAACTGACAGCTCACTTCCTCAAGAGGCCCCAGCTCTGCAGTGCCCCATTAGGCAAGCTACCTGGGAGCTGCCAAAGAGCTGCAAGACTTGGAGGTTGGGAGCCAGGAGCTTGGAAGTCTGGGCTCCACAATTATCTCCAGCTGGGCTGCCAAGGAGCCCAGCAGACAAGTGGCAGAAAAACAGGAAGGTTGGTTTCCATTGGAAACGTGCCTGATTTCCATTAGAATGTTATCAAAATGGACACAGTCCCACAGATGTCTCAATTTCAACTAATTGATGCTTTCTGATAGAAGTTCCATTAGTGAATTTCCAACCAGTTCCATTTATTTACCTTTCTTTGATATTTTTAACCACCCAAAATTAAAATGTTGATTTAATATTTTGAAGGGATTTTCTTTACTGTCTTCCTCTATTAAATCAAGTCAGGTCTAGGCATATTTTACTTTTTTGTTGTTTCTGTATTTTGTTAGCCTTAATTTCACATTAGCAAATATTCAAATTCAGATTAACCTAATATCCTGAAATCAAAGGAGGTCTACTGTGTTTTGTCATAAGTTGGTATTTAGCATGTTGTCCTGTAGTACGCTGCTTATATTCATAAAGTCATCAGTTAAGTGACTCCTTGCTTTGTTTCTTTTCTGTCCATTTCTTTCATAGGTCAATGTGCTTTATAGATTAAATGTTTGGAGGACATAGGTTAGCATGTCATTGGCAGAAACCACTCTGAGTTAGAGTAATTGTATCATAGCTTTTTTAAATGCCTATGCCTGTACCTTGGCTGAGATAAAAGTCAAGAAAATGTTCTCCCCTTCCTCCATTGCTGAAATCCTGTCAAGCAAAACTGTTCAGGGTGTGACTGACAGTTTGGTAAATCCTGGCTACCTGCACTCAGAAACTGTCCAGTACCTCTGATAGTGAGGAACTTTCTGTCAGCTTCATGGAAAAGAACAATTAAGATTCAGTTTGTCTGTGTGTGTGATGGGAGGGTGGTGTCTTCGAGGGAGTCAGGTTTACGAATGTCTCTTCCTCAGTTTTGTCTTCTGCTACTGTTTCACTCACTGAGGTTTTAGAAGGCTGCTTACCTGAATGAAAAACTATCAGTTTTGTGCTTCTGATACTGGAAGATCACACTAATAAGGAATGCCTCTCCACCCACTGGAGAAGGAAATGTCATCTGTCCATCATAACCTGTTGTAGCAAAGCCCCTGGCATGGGTGGTCCCTAGTCTTGCTCTGATTGGTAGTGACTATCCATTTGGATGAGAATCTGGCTCCGAGTTTATTTTGCTCTGATGCAGTACAGGAGTCTATCCCTGTCCAGGTTCTTGAAAAGATAGAACTCCAGTATCATGACATCTATTTGTAAATATAAAATATTTGTAATGTAAATGGACCTAATTCTCTCTCTCCCCCTGAGTCGGAG